GTTCTTGCAGTTTTCTTTGCTCTTCCTAGTATCCTATACAACTCATCAGAAGAACCAAGACAAGAAGACATAACAAAAAAGTTGAAGACAACAGCTTCATGTAAGAAATGAACCCTTCCTCTTCCAACAAATAAGCATACTCAAAAATGCAACTCGCGCCTTTTCAAGCTTTCAGAACAAAAAACTAAAAGGAATAACCCAATTGATCCTAAAGCAACAGTGTACTAGCTTGGAATAGGTTCCTCAACTGTTGGCTTTGACACAGAATTTTTGAAAGGGGTATCATTTCCACTTCTCTTTCGCCTGACCTTAACTTTAAGAGTCCATTGAAGGGTTCCTTCGGGTCGAGGAATCTCCCTTGGCAGACGAAGAGGCACCTCATACTCTCCCACGGTAGTCAGAGGCGATGCTAGGTTAAGATTTTCCGGGTAGATACAAATATTGAGTTGCCTTGCAACCTGAAAACCGAAAAAAAAAACTTCTGTTAAACTTTGGAAGTCATTAATGTGGACATACTGTGCATGTAACAGAGATATTATACCTCAGCAACAAGCTCCTCTTTTGTAACAGGTGTGCGCAACTCATTGTCAACCTTGACTAGCCTCCTCAAACCCTATAAAAGTTTTATTTCGTATGTGAGGGGAAAAAAATATGCAATGAGCACAACTCTTTTGTTTTCATTGTTGCTCACCAGGCGCCCATTATGAAGACGGATTGCAGCTGTTTGATATTCTTTCATTTTATTTTCCTTGGACTGTCCAAAAACCATCAATTAATGAATGAGAGTTACGATGACTGGAACTGCAGGACTTGCAAAACCTTAACACCCCTAACTAAACTATTGGCAGGAACTATCATTTTACTGGTTCAACATCCCTAACTAAACTATTGGCAGGAACTATCATTTTACTGGTTATGCACATTAAGCTTACGCAACCAAGACGTCTAAATGAATTGATGAAGATGATAACTAGATTATAGAAAATCGCATTGATCTGTGTCATAACATGTATGCTATAGAACCAAACAAAATGGCATCCAAAAATTTGACATGAATGTAATAAGAAAAAGAATGGGCAAAAATCTGTTTGAGAAACGTAAAAAATGGCAAGTCAAGAAGGTTATTGAAGGGGACCATTTATTCTTGACTTCATGTTGAGAAATTGACAGTAGATTCATGCCATGAAATTTGGTGGCAGAATCTTAACAAAAGGGAAGGTAAAAAGTGTCTATTATGAAGGAAGCATGCTATGGAAATACCAGAGCGGTTTTGGTCAATTGAGAAGCTGGATATTAAGAGTTATGAATATGCATGACACTGATGAAAATATGTAGTGTCACATAAAAAAAGATCTACTAGCGTGGGATAATAGCAAGAGAGTCAAAACTTGGTTAACAACTTTTTCATGTAGATATAACACGCCGCGTAATACGCATGAAAATAATTGATGTATAAACTACAATTTTAGCCAAAATATGGCATTACCGATGGGCTATAAGAAAATATGTCAATGTAGAAATGTAGAAAAATAGAAACTACAATGATAAAGGGAGAAAAAAGTTAAGACTGGGAACAAAATATATAGGCACTAGTCAAACTAGGACAACTCATCAGGAACTCCATTACTGGTATAGAAAGTGAAAAATAAGCCACTAATCAATCGCAATAGTGAAGTCATTACCACAGCCATGTGTGTTTTAATGTTAGGTATCTTGGATTAATACAAGAACATGGAGAAATGTGTGGAGACAATTACAATATGATAGAATCATGCTGAAGAAGAATGCTCGGACTCTACCAAATATCTTGGAATTGTATAGTCTAAACCATATTATATTGCTCAAAATGCTCCTATTATACCAAATATGACGATGCAACATTCTTAACAATGTGATGGCCACAAATCAGATTATGGGAATGTGGTAACAATACGTAATGTTGCATTGTGAATGTGAAACTCACTAAGAGAATACATTTTCTATGCATACTACTAGTTTTGATTATCAAACTTTAGGAGCTCTAGCGGGTATGGGACACAGTGCCATGGTTATGGATGTTTTTAATAATTAACTCGATGAAAGAGAAATAATGGTTTCCGAAAGTAGCACATGCACATATGCATTCACGAATATTGTAACTAGAAAAGATATAATTATTACAAAACTCATAAAAGCACTAAAATATCAATGTCTTGAGTTGTGGAATCTATTAAGTCAAACACTTACAGTGTCATCAGTTGTCTCCAAAATCTCTTCCTTTGCCTTTGAAACTTCAATTTCCTTTTCTTCATGCTGATAAAGCTGTTCAAAATATAAAATAACTTAGGGGCTTCACAAATACACATGAAAAATTTTACATAATTTTAACTATTCGAATTGAGGTTATACAAGATAAAATGATGCCTAAACTAATAGATTTGAGCACTAAACTAGTAGACTACTGGTGTACACTGAGTACTTAAAGCAACCACAAAGCATTACAAGATATCAGAATACAGGTGTCCAGAATAACCTAAAGAGTAGAAGATGACACAAATGTGAACAAAAAAAGAAAAAGAACTTGACATCTTCAACAATGAAGAGCAGTGAAGAAGTAATAAGAGAAGGTAGGTTAGTCTACCTATCTAGTAGCTATAATGTGGGACACAGGCAAGAGTACCTACATCAATGCTCAAGGACATGGATCTCACATTCACGTTGTATCACCATATCGAAGGATCTAACGGGGACAACGATATATCTCCTGTTTTCATGTACATGCTTCATAGACACCATCAACAGTAAAATATGATATGATAAAAATGGCTTGGATAAAGATATCCTCTAAATGTGAATAACTAAAAACAGAAGTTGTCTAAAATAAGACCAATTGAAGTGCGCTCTAAGAGTACGTCTCAATTTGTTTCTCATTTTCACGGATGCATGTTCTATTTACTCGTCTAGGAGCATCACATCCATATTCTTCCACTTGTCTTTGCACTTCCATTTTTCACGTACTAAAATAATATATTCTTTTAAGCATGGGTACTTTTAAGATCTCAAGATGTAGAACTGGACTTAAAGAGGATTCGAGACCAAAAAGAATTATCCTCAGATATGCACTGGCTTCCTTGACAACATTTTACTTACACCTTTCTATGGTAATCCAAAAATACTCAGTCTGGTTGAATTTCACCACATTTTCACGTGAGATCCTAACTAATGAAGGAAAAACAAGAGAAATCATAACCATGTGATATATTTTAGTTCATAACTCGTTCAACATGGTGGCATTTGAAAATCTATATTGGGAAACACTCGCTTTAGTTCCGCAAATTTTAGTTCATAACAGCTACCAAATTCACAATCACTCAGGGGACTATAACCCAAATTTTGGTCATTTTTGGACAAGTTACGTTTTGTGCTTCCGCATAGAAATGTTTGCGCTACGTCACAAATTCTTGATTTATTGTGGATTATAATTCACAGTTTCAGCAGTTTTTGGCCCAATCACTTTTCCATGCCCACATAGAAATATTTTTCCAATCTCCCAAATTAATGATTTCTTGGGGATTACCCAAAGTTTTGGTCATTTTCAACCAAATCACTTTTTGCATTCCCGGATAGAAATGTTTATGCGAAGCCCCAAATCACTATTTCTCGAAGACTATAACGTAATTTTAGTCGGTTTGGGCCAAATCACTTCTTGCATTCTTGCATTAAATATTTATTTAAACTCCAAATTCACAAATTCTTGTGGATCACTAACCCACAATTTTGGTCGTTTTTGGCCAAATTACTTGTGTTCTCATGTCAAATATTCAATTGAGTTTCTAAATTCACAAATTTTCATGGACTATAACCAATAATTTTGGCCATTTTTTGCCAACTCACTTCCTGTGTTCTCGCGTAAAATTTTTAATAGAGTTTCAAAATTCACGATTTCTCAGGGACTATAACCAATAATTTTGTTGTTTTAGACCAAATCATTTCTTGCATTCCAACGTAGAAATAATCATGGAAGCACCTAAATTCACGACAAGGTTATCGATAGCGGATAACGTCGCGTAGCGGTGAGGCATCGCTAAGGCTATTTAGGGCTATTGCGGTAAAATAACGATAAAAAGCGCAAAATCAAATAGCGATCTAATTTAGATGTGTAAATACTAAAAAAAATTAAAGAAAAATCTAAAAAATCTAAAAGTGCATATTTGATGATTTAAAGAGATCCTAAACATGAAATAGACATGTAATCATCACATAATACCAAAGACGACTGGAGGAGAAGTCAAAGAGTCGTCGTCTTCGAGAAGATGAGCTGAGCGGTGAGAGGACTGCCCTAGGAGAAGCTCACGATGAAGGAGGTGAGAGGAAGCTGCTGAGTTAGGTGCCAGAGGCTATAAGAGGCGGCGGGAGCACGCTAAAAATCGCGAGAGGCGGTGAAATGCAGTGGTTAAAGATTGGGTTTAATTTAAAAAAAATAAGCACAAACCATTTTTAAATAGTAGTCAAAAAGCGGATTTTGAACACAATTGCCTGCTATTTACCTGTTATGGTAATTTGCCATCCAAATATAGAAATGTCGGGAGAATGACTGTATAAACCCAAGGGAACCATGGTCCAAACCAACTTAGAGGCTCAAAAGCCCAGTCAAGGCCAAGTCCCTCGACTAGACGAGCAGACAAGCCATATTTCGATCAAGGATTATCATGACCGACTCGAAGTACGGGATCAGTCGCCCTCTCGCAATTAAGACGACTCCTCGAGCAGACGACTTGACTATATACCCGACCCGAAACTCACTCGACTATCGGGTCGCCAAATCAAAATGATGGCTCGCAGATCAACCCGCCTCGGCTAAAGGGATAAGAGCCGACCAAGTTCACTTCAGATGTCAATCGACACAACAGTATTGATCAGACCCATCAAGATCTCCATTCCGACAAACCTCGTGCCCAAGCCGCTTATTCGGCTTACAAGTCATTTCCCAGAAGATTGTCATGATGTTTTCTTGTGCACGAATGACTTCTCCAATTACCAGCCGCCATCTGGAGAAAGAAGGACGACTAAGCAGCCGACCTATCCTACGCCTATCTCTTCTGACAAATCCAGAGTACTGAGAAGACAGGTCTCTCCTGTCCGTGGATGACTTCCTTTCCAATCATCAGCCGACATCTGGAAGGAGAAAGGTGACTCAGTAGTCTATCTGCCCGCCAAACAACCGTCCTCCTGTGCAAAAGAAAACCCAAAATCTCAGAGGCTATGGAATATAAAAAGGAGGTAAGGAGGGTAAGGGCAAAAGTGAGGTTGCTCTCTGCTTCTTCTTACACCTGAGCTTTACTCCCCTTTGGGATCTTTTTACATAAAGAGCATTTAAAAAACACTTAGGGAGAAACCCCCTGCAAGGACCTCAATGGCCCACAATTTAGTTGTTTTAGGCCAAATCAATTCTGTCTTTCTCAGTAGAAATATTTATGCAAGTTCCAAAATTCACGATTGCTCATGGGCTGTTGTACGTAACCTACAATCTTGGCCCTTTCAGGCCAAATTACTTCTTACATTCCCTCAAACAAATATTTATGGCAGGTACCAAATTCACGATTCTTGTGGACTAACCCATAATTTTAGCCGTTTGCGGCCAAATAACTTATTGAGCTCCTTCATATAAATGTTCATGCGAGCTCGAAAATTTACAATATCTTGAGGACTATAACCCACAATTTTGGTCGAAAAAAACCAAATTGCTACAACATTTCGTACATAGATTTGTTTATGCAAGCTCCTAAATTCACAATTTCTAATAGCGCAACCTAATATCTTGACCATTTTTAGCCAAATAGCTTACATTCCCACACATATAAAAATATACATCCGAGGCTCCGAGCTCCCAAATTCATGATTTCTCATGGATTATAACCCCTATAATTTGACCAATTTCGACCAATAACTTATCGTGTTCTAACATCGAGCTCTGAAATTCACGTCTTCTCATGGAATATAATCGACGATTTTGGCCATTTTTGTGAAATAAATTTAAGTGTTACCACATAGAAAAATACTTTTGAAAAATCACAAATCCACGATTTCTCGTGATATATAACCCACAATTTTTGCAGGTTTCAACCAAATCACTTTTGCATTTCCGCATAGAAATATTTATGTAAGCTCAAGAATTCACGATTTCTTGTGGACTGTAAGCTACAATTTTTGCTATTTTCGTTCAAATAAATTTTTGTATGAATAGAAATATTTATGTGAACTCCCAAATTCACGATTTCAAGTGGAATATAACCCATAATTTTGGCCATATTTGGTCAAATAATTTCTAACCTTCTCGCATAGAAATATTTTTGCGAGATCTCAAATTCATGATTTCTCATGAACTCTAACCCACAATTTTGGCTAATTTCGGCCAAATCCTTCACACGTTCCTGTATAGAAATGTTTATTCAAGGTCCAAAATTCACTATTTCCCGTGGACTATAACGTAATTTTACTCGGTTTGGGTAAATTCACTTCTTGCACTCCTACATAAAATATTTATTCGAGCACCTAAATTCACGATACCCACAATATTGATCGTTTTTGGCCAAATTTCTTATTTTGTTCTTGCACAAAATATTTATGCAAGTTCCCACGTTCATGATTTTATGAGGACTATAACCCACAATTTGGTCATTTTCGGCCAAATCACTTCTTGTGTTTCCGTAAAAAAATATTTAATGCAAACTCCCAATTTCACGATTACGAGTGTTGTAACTTACAATCTCGGCTGTTTTAGGCCGAATCATTTCTTACATTCCCTCGTAAAAATATTTACACGAGGTCACATTCATGATTTCATGTAGACTACAACCCACAGTTTTTGTTATTTTCAACCAAATCACTTATTATGCTCCCACATAGAAAGCTTATGCGAGCTCCAGAATTTACAATCTCTCGAACTATATAACCCATAATTTTGGCCTAAGACGGGCCAAATTACAACATAGAAAAATATGAGCTCCTAAATTCACGATTTCTAGTGGACTGTAACCTAAATAGTGGACCATTTTCGGCCAAATAACTTCTTGCATTTCCGCACATTTCCGCATATATATATATATATATATATAGTTAATAGTGTGTGTGTATATATATATATATGATATATATAATATATATATATATATAATATATATATATTAAGAAAATATGGAGAGGCCTTGAATACAAGTTAATACATACACTAAATATAAGAAGATATGAAGAGCCTTGATACAAGTTTTCTTCATTGAAGCTTGATATATATTATAATATTATTATATATATATATAGATATC